TACAACGTTTCATCCCTTTTAACTGCCGTAAATTCACTCTCTTTTTATTATGAATAAATTTCCTGCCCACGAAGTTTCCTAGTCTCTTTCACATCGCTGAAATGCGTCTGTTAGCCGTTTCAGGAAGTAACAGATTTACATAACCTTTCATATACTTCAACTACCGAACCCCTACTCTTTCATATACCTGAAGCCTGGAAAAAACAAGAAATTAGACAAAAAATTGGACAACGGACAAGAAATCGGACAAGAATCGTACGAGAGGTCGGCCAAAAAAACCGCACATAAAATCGGACAAAAAAAAAAACAGGACATGAAATCGTACAAGAAATCGGACTAAAAAAACGGACAACATATCGGAGATGAAATCGGAAATGGGACATCAAATCGGACATGAAATCGATCAGACAGGATTTCAAATTGCATCGTACATCAAAATCAGACATGAAATCGGACAAGAAATCCGTCAAAAAAATCGGACATGAAATCGGACAAAAAGTAAAAAAAAAAACGGACATAAAATCAGACATGAAATCGGACAAGAAATCCGTCAAAAAAATCGGACATGAAATCGGACAAAAAGTAAAAAAAAAACGGACAAGAAATAAGGAATCAGACATGAATTTCCGATCCGTTTTCCACACTATCTTGGGGCCTGGATTGGGCTTTGTTTTATCAGTCCTATCCTGCCATCATTTCGTGGAAAAATTATGCTGCCCAAACTTACGATTTCATTGCAGACAAAAGTTGTATAGAGATCAATTTGGAGAATTTGTTTGTGGATATTGGGGCTTAAAGGGTTTTAAAAGTGCGTGCAAAGATATGGTATATATCGTGAATAAGGTCTATTGTGAATTTTTATATAAGACGAAAGACTTCGATCAATAGACCTTATTCACGATATATACCATATCTTTGCACGCACTTTTAAAACCCTTTAAGCCCCAATATCCACAAACAAATTCTCCAAACTGATCTCTATACAACTTTTGTCTGCAATGAAATCGTAAGTTTGGGCAGCATAATTTTTCCATGAAATGATGGCAGGCTCAGTTTTCATGTTAACCGCTGGCATTTTTTGTTTTGTGCATTCACAGGCCGTTAGAAGAAAAAGTGACATCACTCATCAAGATGTAAAAGAAAAAAGTAAAGCAAAAGCCATTGCCTTTATACAAGGAAAAACAGAAGCGCACCTTCTTAGAAAACTGATAGTCCATGACTCCTTGAAGAATGTAAAGTTCTGTATTTATAGCCTGTTGTACTTTACAGTTTAGTTGACCCTTTATTAGTAACCATAATGGAAACAAAATGCAAATCAGAAATGTTCAAGTTGCACACAATTTTGTCACCATTCTTTCTGATAATTTCTGCACTTTTGTCTGGGCCACCAAAAGCAAGTATGCCATTAGGCTTATTTGCACGGCTGAGGACTCTCATAAAAAATAAATATGGATCCCTGAAATTTTACCCGCCCTGAAATACCACATGACATTGCTTTAACCCATCGATCCTAGAACGTGTGCAAGGGTGGCAGATATTGTGAATAAGGTCTACTCTTAACTTATAAAATTAAATAAAATTTATACAGAAAGGCATAGCTGGCAAACCTGCAACGGTAATAAATATGTCTATGCTCAAAGGCTGAGAAAGGTAGTGATCACTGCATGCATGCTCAAAGTACAGCATTGAATACACAGGTAAAAAAAATTATTACTATCCGAGTTTTAGGGTTACCGGTGTGGACAAGAGTTTTCAAGGTGGACTTCATTGTTGCAAATCAACAAAAAACCTATCACAGTCTCCTGTGGCCTTCTTTAATTGGCCAGACATATCTCATGCTCTAATTCACTACTTAAAATGTGATTCTTTCCCTTTCTGTACACCCAGCAAAAATAATCCTTGAAAGACAATCCAGTCAAGGAGGACAGAGAAGCTCTTCTTTACTATCAGAAGGTACATGAACACTTTTTTTGTCACCATGATTTTACTTTTAATTTATTTATTAACACCATTTTTACAGTGGAACCAAACTTATGCCTTTTGCTACTTACTTATAGCCATTTTTCACATTTTTGAGCCAAGCTTGTCATGGCCATTGGCTTAGATCCACACAATTACTCTCCACATAATTTTCGTCGCAGTAGTGCTACTTTTGCCTTTGCATGCAAGGTTCCTGCTGAACTTCTTAAGTTTCAGGGTGATTGGCGTAGTATATGTATTTAGTTTATTTAGAGATGTCCGACAGTCAGAAACAACAAGCTGTTGCCTCGATGGCACATAACATCCAACAGATGCTGTTTGCTTAACCTGGCAGTAACTTAGCGTCTTTTTGTTTCCTAGTTTTTGTGTATCCATTGTCCAATTTCTTTTTAATCATTCCCCACATACCACTTATCCGTTTGGGTTTGGGTGTGGGAGTGTTATTGTCAGTGTCGTTTTATTCGTGCCTGTAGTCTGTGACAATAAACTCCCTGTGGCCAAACTCTTGTGGTCTGTGGTTAATGTAATCAATCAACAAGTTTGGCATTTTTTAATAATTGTTTTTGCCTGACCACAGGAAGTTATATTTGCAAAGGTGACTGAAATGGTATCATCTTTTTCTAGTGAGCCTTAAAATTTGGTACTGTCGCACTTTGTTATAGCAGGGTTCCACTCTATAAAAAAATTATGTGCAAGATAAGGCTCAAAATATAATGATAACTTCTAGTTTTTCTTTGCTTAACTAACAGGATACCAAAATCCTACTTACTATCATCCTGTATCCTATAGTTTATTTGGGTAGCTAAAACACAAAAAATGCCCCTTGTAGAAAAAAAAATATATATAGCACACTCCTCTTCATAACCCTTTTACTCCTAACAGTGGCCAAGGAAAAAACATTAAAAGCAACAACAACAACAACAATGTTTATTTACATTTTGCCATTTACATGGATGGTACTGCATAAAAGAAAAAATAAATAAATAAAATAAAATAAAGGATAATAGTTGAAAAATACAGCAATGACATTACAAAATAAATAATCAATAATAATCGAAAACAAAATAACCTAATTTTTTTACAAATTAAGGGGGTCTACGTTACATTAAAAAGGAATAATACAGTATTTTATCTTGTTCAGTTAGAGTATTCAAGATGGGATATTTCGAGATTATGTCATAAAAAAACGTTTTCCTTTTTTTCACGAATAAGAATCACAGTTAAGTAGAAAGTGATCGAACCTCATTTTCTACCTGATTAGAAGAACAATTTTTTGCAAATTCTTAGATTTTCCGCAATTTTCATGACAGAATTTCTGCCAGTTTCAATTCTTGTGTTATGATTACCTAATCTTAATTTTTATTTTTGTAACAGATCAAGAGTGTCTATGATTTACATTTTAAATTAGTTCTAATTGAAGAGAGGTGTTTTGATCACTTTTAAACATAGAATAAAATTCCAGTTTTATATTAGATCGTATTGACTCAATTTTAAGATTTCTCAAAGCAATCACGATACTCTGTTTTATTTTAGGTAAATTATTTTAAACTGTTTTAGTGTCGTGGGCATGGATTCTACTGTACTTACAGCCTTTTCTCAAGTTTGATTTAAAAAACGATAGAGTTGAAGGAATTCTTTCAAAGAAGACAAAAAGTAGGGTTTCTTTTCTCTGCCAGCTGAATTGAGATCCGTAAACATTGTTTGGCAACACTATTTTCTGGAAGGTTTTCAAGGTGGATCCAAAATTTTAGTATTCTGGTGTAGATATTTAATTTAAGGGAAAGCCTCCCAACATCATTGCTGGATATGACATTTGGGGATCTTCTGTTTAGGCCCATGTAGTACTTATGAAACTGAGTTGCAGTTTTTTGATGGGGTCTTTTTCCCATTCCTTGCCAGGGTCAATTTTGTTGTATGCTCCCCTGACTTCTGAACTGTATAAAAGTATGGGAAGGAAAAGAGTATCAAAAGATTTGTTGCACACAGATATCGGGAATTTGCTAAAGTCAAGACATTTCTTACATACAAAAATCGATCTTCTATTAATCTTTGCTTAGAAGTTGAGAAATTGCCATTTGAATAGAAGGTTAACCTATTTAAGTGTATTCATTGCCATTGTGGATAATTTCATTCCAAGCTCACGTTACAAGTGTGTTAGGTAATTAACTTTCTCACAAGAGAGTCTGTGTTGCGTTAAAAGCAACCGTTGAGACTTTGTATGAGAAATAAAATACTGAGGTCTGCGAATGCTAACTATCATTATTCTTACTTAATTATTTTTCTATAAAATGAATAAAGGAGACTTACCTTTGATGTATTCCTGTGTTTTGGTGTGAATTCAACAATTTAGTCATTTTTTTTTTGGCTGTTATTGGTTGACCCCTTTCACTCTCTTCATAAAAGGAAGTACACTTTCATATTATAAAGAGAGTGACAGGGGTCAAACAAAACCAGCCAAAAAAAACGACTGAATCGATGAATTCACACCAAAAATCAGGAATACATGAAAGGTACTAGGGGTCTCCTTTATTTATTTTATAGAAAAATAAGTAAGTAAGAATAATGATATTTAGCATTTGCAGACCTCAGTATTTTATTTCTCATACAAAGTCTCAACAGTTGCTTTCAACGCAACACCGACTCTCTTGTGAGAAAGTTAATTTACCTAACACACTTGTAACGTGAGCTTGGGATGCCTGTGCTGAAACTTATGTTTTGGTGCTCGAGCAAGTTAACCTTTTTTTCTTATAGTCACATATCAAGTCAATCACAAAACGCCCTCGTATAGCATTAGCTAAATAACGCTGACTATTTCTCTCCATTGAATCAAGCCATTTTGACATTATTGAAAAAGACAACTTCTGCGATTTTAATGCGTTCTGTTGATCATTATCCGCTGCTAAAAAATCAAGGAAAGGCATGCTCTCCAATGCAGATCTAACCTGTTCAATGAAGAATTCCTCCTCACAAGAGGAAACACGCTTTAAGTGTTTTTCCTTTACAACAGCAACCACTTCTAATTATTTATCCTCCTCACATCGCCAAAATACAGGTCCACCTGAATTGCCGTTATTTACAGGAATATTAAAAGTCAGTAAAGGTTCTCGTCCGTAACGTTCGCCAGTTTCCCCAGCAACATAGCCCTTAACAAAGAGGGCGGCTTTTCCAGTATGACTTATTGGATACCCAAGGGTAAATATTGGCACCCCTTGCAAAGGTTCTCTCTCGGATAACTCCAATGGACAGATTCCACTTTTCGCTAAATCCAGTTTTTCACAATAAAGTAAGGCTAGGTCATTTTGGGGATCCTCTTCAACAACGTCGCATGGTAACTCACGAATTACTGCATTAGAAATAAGAATTTTCTTAGCACCTTCAACAACATGTTTAGAGGTAATGATTAAGTTATTAGCAACAATAAAGCCGGAACCATGATCATCATCCACCCAAGCTTCCGGGTCCAGGCTTTCTGTTCGGTTCTCTTCGTCGTCAGGGCTAGCGTCGTCCTTCTCATCACAAACAGTGTCTTGGATAACAGGAGGAATTTCATTATCGGAGCTGTTGCTGTAAAAGGTGTCTAGATCATCCACTACCTCTCGCTGAACAATCTGTTCCAGCTTGACTTCATGTTGTTCGTTCCCTTCAATGAGGGGAAAAGTATCATTGATAGATTCATAACCTTTTTTTAAGCTAACCTTTTCGACGCGATGAGAAGAAATACTTTCTTCGTACTCTCTCTTAATATCTCGCCTTGCTTTATTGATTTCGTCTTCATCTTCTTTCGAAGCGGTTGTAGAAGTTTCTATCCCCTTCATCTTTAACAGCATGGATAGAGCTTTGTGAATGTGGCCTATGTCGTATACGTAGCTTGGTTTTCCGGCATTTTCACAGTCTGGAAGCACCGACGAAAACAAGTTTACTGGGGGATCAATGAAGCAACCACGAAGTCGTCCTTCCACTTCATTCCTCGTGTATTTCCTTCTATGAAAAATCGATACCTTCACAACAGCGCGTATGGCTGTCCTTCCGTCGTCACCTAGAATGTCATTTCGTTCCATGTTGAACAGCTTTGAATGCGGAGAGAATTCTCTAACTTTGTTTCAGGTGGCCGTTTCAGGTATATCAGCCCAAAAGTAAGCCTGCGACGATAACTTCCGTCTGTCACCACAAAGGTAGATGGCTTGCTACTCGGATATAGCAGCTTCTCGGAAGAGAAGTCACGAATGGTGCGTTTCCCTGACCCCAAACAAAACCAAAACAATTGGAAGAATGACATGTCATTGTTTCCCGCGATCAATTAGGAGAGACGTTACGAGCAGCTTCTACACCTTGGAGCAGCATGGAACAGGCTCCGTTATAGATAATAAATGGCGCGTTAAGACTCCGGGGAACCCAACAATGTTTGCAAACTGTAATAATTTTAGGCAGAAGCGTTTTGAGGTCATCGAAGCCAAGTCAGACTAAAAAGATATTTACCCGCCCCGATGTCCCCTGACTTGAAAACGAGGTTTACCCTTCAGGGCGGAAAAACGTAATGAGCATGCGTGAATTTTTTGGCCCAGATCCCCTGGCCGGGTTTGAAAAAATGGCGGGATTTCAAATATTTTATTGCCTAAAAATAAAATGTTTCCACTCATAATCTGGAAAGAACAGGCAATTTGTCTTCAAAAGTTGCAAGCTGCGGTTATAACCTTGTCGTTACTTAATTTTTTCGAAGAATACCTCATAGTAAAACGGACTTTAACGACATTTATTTCCTTGCGTTGTACTGGAAATGTGCATGCGTAGGTCCGATTTTTTTCGAGATGCATTCACAAAATGTGTTCATATAAGGAAGTTCCTGGATATATAAGGTCCGGAGCACCACTGTGGACACAAAAATAACATATCTTTGGACAGTGATTTGCCCAAAAAAAATAACGCTTGCCCACAATGTGTTTGAAGTCACTGAACAAACAGCGTGAGCTCGACTATAAAATTTTGGGAGCGAGCTAGCCTGGAGCATCAAAGCGTGATCACTAAAATATAAACAAAATCTTCGATGTGGAAGTTATTGCGTTGAAATGTGGGCAGAAAAAAGGTCAATCTTTATCTAGTAAAGTCTTCCCAAAAATCGGTTTCAAAGCAACTATAGTTTTTTAAACTTGCTCGTTTTGAGCGGATATATAAATTTTGCTTTGTGTTGTCAAGTTGAACACGCATAACATGTCAAAAACCTACGCGTAGGTAGGATTTCCTTCAAACAAAGTTAAAGTTGCATTATTTCAAAAACTTCTTGCTGACAATGAAGAAATGAATTTTCTGTGCGAAAACAACCTACCTAAAGATCTTAAAAGATCAGTTGCAACTTGGCATCCAAGCCATGATTCACCATTTAGCTATTTTCAATAAGCTTAACTGGTCCATGCGAGGGTCTTCGTTTAAGCAAATTAAACTCAGCCGATCATGAGAAAATACAGAAAATTGCACATAAGGGTTTGTTTTGCTCGCCTCAGTCAAATCAAGCTGCAGCATTGTTTACGGGAAAAGAGTCAATTATTTTGAAGTCACTGCCGGCAGTCGTCGTTCTCTACTTCACAGCGAGTGAAAAAGACAATTTGCGTACAGAAAGTTATTCTTATAAAGAACAGAAACTTTCACAGTGCACTGGAAAACAAACTTTGTAATGAAAAATGAAAAAAACTCTGACTATTATTACTTGAGCAACAGAAAAATGATCTTGAGTAAGCTTGCAGGCCTTCTATTTCCGAGAAAGTTTAATAAGCGCACAAGTTTGTTCACTCTGGTGCGTTATAACAGCAATATGGTTCTTTGACTGAAGACAAAGATAAAGCTGGTTCTGCAAAGGTAATAAATAAGGGCATGCATAAAAAGTAACCGTAACAACTAATAACAGAATACAAGCGGGTTTTAATTCAACCCGGCGAAATCAACTCATAAATTAATCGGTTGCACAATCAGAAAAATACTCGCCTCTTAAGAAATGTTCAAAACCTTTTATTCCACCTCAGACTGACGGAATGACCCGTTTTTCCTTTAACATTGGTTGTTCTGAATCCAAAGTAATTTTCAAGCGACGAAAAAAAAGCAAACATGTCAAATAAAAATACTTTACAGGGAGCAAACGTTCGCACCTCGTGCATTTCACTCAGATCTCCAGCAACAAACAAACACAGTCAACACACAGAAAAGCCCGCCTTGAGCCTGCGATAAGGGATGCGCAGAAGCTTGCGCAGAACGTTTTTCCGCCCTGAAGGTTTACCCCCGTTCACAGTTCGTTCCCAGGGTACCATCCTTGATGCCTGGAACATTTTTCACAAGGGCAGAAGGCAGTAGAATTCTCGAGTGTAGATGAGTTCATAAAACGCTAAAATGGCTGTGATCGGCTGCTGTGAAAATGGACTTCTTGTCGATCACCAAAGAAGTATTTCTGAGTCAGTTTCGGATTTGTCCTTGTCCTGCAAAGACAGTTTATTCGCTTTGTTTGAACCTTACTTTCGATCTTCAGTTACAAACAGTGGTAGGCATAAACGAAAGGTAAGTGTGTAACACTGACTGAGTTAGCTTGATTGATTTCCTTTATGGAACGGCGATTTCCAAATTAGATTCTTACGTGATCTGTATGCTGCCTCAAGAGTGAACGTAAATGGATTGCTTTCTTCACCGGAACTGATATGGCATTACATGTAACAAAGAACCAAAAAAACAAACGATTAAGCCTCTCCAAGAGTTGTTCGCTGAAGTTCTTTTGTTTCTTATGTCTGGGCGTCTGGAAAAGCGGGAAACCGGAATCCGGAATCGGAACGGGAATAGCAACAGGAACAGAAACAGGAAGCGGACCCGGAATAGGAACCGGCGGTATGGGAAGAGAAACCTATACAAAAACGGGGACAACATTTACCTTAATTTATTAGTTAATCTGGATTTAATTCCTATTTCGTTTAAATACGAAAAATAAGGGAAAAAATATAACAGGAACCGGAATAGGAAGGGGAATATAAACAGTGTATAGAAATATGAAAAGAAAAAGATATAATTGTGATATAAATAAAAAGCCAGAGAAATAATAAAAGAAACAAGAAAACACCCTTGAAATGTTAATCTAATTAACCTTTCTTTGTCTTTAGCCAGTGACACATTGTGTTTTCGTGGCAAACATAATAGCGAACTCAACCAACGAGAACGCTGACCGTCGCAGACTTCATGAATAGCAACTGGAAGTTCAATGTTTCGCTTGATTGAATGCTTCTGTCTCAGAGAACGAATCTGAATTCTTCCTCTTACCTTCCACTGTGCGAATTTGTTGAGTCAGAGCACTGAAAGATAGAAAACATCTACTTCCACCACTGAGAAATTGAATTCGGGTCTTAATTCAAACTATTTCTCATTAATTCCAAATTGTCCAGTCTTTTAAAGGTTGGTAAATGAAGCTGGAGACGGCGTCCGAGCTCAGAAAGACACAATAAAATGTATCGCCTGCCGTTCACGTTTTCAAGACAACTTAAGATTTGATCATTTACGTTGTAGTTGTGCAAAGACGGTGAAGAAATTGACAGAAAGCACGATGCACTCGCAAAGCTGTTGCTTTATTTATTTTACTTGCTGCTTTTTTATATTCTCGTTGCCGTAATATAAAGAGATTCAGTGGGGAGCATGATACCCGACTAGTTTTCTTATTTTTTTTGTGTAAATTGAATCAGAATTAAAATAATTTAAGATAAATGATGTCCCTGTTCTTGTATCGGTTCCCCTTCAGAGTACTGTTCCTGTTCCGTTGCCGTTTTCAGTTCTGGTTCTGCTTCCTGTTCCCATTCCCGTTCGTATTCCGGATTCCGGTTTCTGGCTTTTCCAGACGCCCCTTATGTCTCGTGTTAATCTGTACCAAAAAAGGCAAAACATCCCCTCCTTAGCTCTTCAGAGACTTTCAAAGGACTAGGCACAGGGCAAACAAATGCAAGATGTGCAAGTGGTTATATTCCCATTCCATTATAAGTGACTGCTGATTAATTCTCATACAAACAAATAAAATTTTATAGAGAGGCACATAGCCTGAAAATGTATGACAGTAAGAAATACATACCACTCAGAGACTGAGAAAGGTATAGTAGTTCTCAAAGAACGGCATTGAACACAAAGGTAAAAAGAGCCAGAACAATGGACTGGTAACAGGTGCTTTATTTTTGCTTCCCCTCATGATCATCTCGTGCTTCACGCTGACATTTCAAGCTTTGCGCAAAATGCCATGTTTGCCTCGCTTGGCTCATAAAGCGTATGTTACGCAGGCTAATTACCCGTTGCTGCATTGTTGTAAATCAGCAAAAAACCTTTCACAGTCTCCAAAGGCCTTCTTTGAGCGGACATATTGCTCTAAGGGCCTGTTTACATGAAGGTAAGATAAGATAAACACTTTATTTCAATATGGTGCATAATTACAGCCGCACTGTAGTCTACAACTGGCCTGTCCATATATTCTTTCATTTTAATTTGATCACGTTTACATGATAGGTGGGGTGACCCGCCAAGTGCGGGTAGCCCGGTCTGCCAGACTGGGTGACCCTTCCAGCTGGGGTCAAATTTTGCCATGTAAACATTTAAAGATGGGGTAACTCACCTAGCTAGGGATAGATCTGTGATACATCAAATTTGCACAAAATTCACTTTGGCCGTGGCTTTGCATAATTATTTAAGGTAATAATTGAAAGCCACAGCACCGAAGGTTGCAGCAAGTGAGTGTAAAAGTGCATTAATTGCCAAAACATGTGGTTTGCCAGAATTTTTCTTGTTTATGTGCTTAGCGACCATTCAATAATTTTGAGAAAATGCACCCCGGGATGGCAGGGTTGTAACATGTAAAGGGCCATATAAAGGAGGGGTTATTTTTTACCCCGCCTCAGCGGGTTACCTCACCTACCTGGAGTCCCCCACTTCCATGTAAACAGGCTCTAAGTCAATAATGTTTTTCTTCCCCTCTCTGTAAACCCAGCGAAAAAAATCCTTGAAAGGTAATCCAGTTGAGGAGGAGGACATAGAAGCTCTTCTTTACCACCAGAAGGTAATTAAACAAAGCGTTTATTTTTCTTACCATGATGCCTCCTTTTAGTCATTTATCATCAGCATAATTTTTATATTCTGGAACCAAACTTGTGAATCCTAAAGGCAGAGTTTCACCTCAGTCAGTTATTGGTCAACAGCATTGCAATGTGGAAGTTGGGTGCCTGAGATATCCAGGAGCGTCCACTACTGGCAGCCAGCTTCCATGGCAGGCAAATCCTGGCAACCTAGTGATGAGCCCCCATGCGCAAGGGAAGAAAGAAGGCACCTGTCACAGTGAACAAGTCAGTGGAAATATGGAAGGGAGGGGCGGGGAAGCAGTCACTGCAATTGTGAGACACCAAGGCTGAGTAAATGTTCACTAAAAACTGCCCAAACATGCCAAAATGCCAGAATGCTAAAAACAATCACAAGTAAGAAGCTTTGGAAACTGCAATAAAATGGCCAAACACGCCAAAACACCAGAATGCTAAAAACACACCAGAAAATGCTACAAAACACTCAACTGCAAGAGCATGTGGGATAATGGTGCATGCTCATCTCACAATCCAGCTGGCCAGCAAGATCAGACTTAAACTCCTTGTTGTTAACTCTGTCAAATTGCATTTAACTGCATTAATATATTATATCACCATAAATTTTATTTATCTTTGTTTTAATGCATTTAAGGTGAAAGGGACAATTCTTAAAGTCCTGGAGAATCTTGTGAGGACTGGGGTAGAAAAAAGATATTTTCTTTCCAGTTGTGAGGACTTTGAAGAAGATATGTGTACAGTAGTGCCAGGTAAAATATTACACAATTTTTTTTTTAATTTTTCTAAATCATTGCATAGTACTCCAAACAACACACAATTTATTTTTAAATAATTTTTGACGCCCTTAGAGCAGCCAATGGGTGCCTATCAAAAACAGTAAATGCACAGACAACAGACATGTCCAGACCAGACTTAAAAGCTGTAAATGGTTTATCTTTTTTTTTAATTTCTACAGATAAAAATCTTCCCAGTGAACACAACTTATTTGGTCATTTGATATCTCATTTAAAAGAAGAGCCAGCATTACTTAACATTTGTGGACAGCCGTACATCATACCTCCTCAGTGTACTTTCTTGACGTCTGATTCAAGCAACTTACAACCTCTTATTGATCATGGTTAGTATTTTTGAATACTACCTGTAGTGCTAAAACACTCTAGTTATTTTTTAAATATTTAATCACTTCTACCACATGGTGAGGACCACACAACAGAGCAGGGCTCCAATTTAGGTGTGTCCTTAAAAATAACCCACGCAACCCAGGAGAGGTTGGCCACACCACCAGAGTCTACATCCCCTATTCTTTTCAAATAGTGGTGTGGGTTTTTTTATGTCCCATAAGAACCAGATAAGTGAAAGTGCTGTGAGACGGGACCTATGGTTTTTCATCCTTATCCGAGAAGACTAGAAAGTCTAACCATTTGCCGATGTTATTACGAAGGTAGCACCTTCTCCTCAGTTATTTAACCCTTTAAGCCCCGATGTCCATTTACAAATTCTCCAAACTGATCTCCATACATTTCCTTAAAGAATAAGTTGAGAGAATTTGATAAGAGATCATAGAATTTTCTCTGAGGTGATAATGATCATTTAATTAAATCTCATAACCTTTTCTCTTGATTATGTATTGACATTGCAAAGAGAAAATCAATGTTGGTCACTCTTGGCACTTAAAAGGTTAAAGACCCTGAGTTGTGGTCTAGCCAGGATTTGAACCCGGACATCCTGCTCAGCAGTCTTGAGCTCCCCTGAGCACTCCCAACTAAGCTAACCAGGTCTAAGCCTTGTCAACTCTTTTTTGTTTGAAAACAGAGTTTGTTTTTTCCAGTTTCAAAAAAATCTGCCTCCTTTTTTTCAGAATAGTGACTGAAAATGGTACTATCTTTTTCTTTTACCAATGGATGCCAGCAGTAAGATTTTACATTTGTTAACTCATAATTTATTTTAATTATTTNTGTTTTTCTTTTCATCTCCACTCTCTTCTGAATTGGTCTTCTTTCTCACTGAGCTTGGATTGAATGCTTCTTTTCAGAGGAGACGATTAAGAAAATCGCGGTAATAAGCAAGGTACGATAGCGACGACTTGTTGTCAATAAGCGAATGACATCTTAAATGTCACCTCCGTTCAAGTAGGCTCAGAAAATAACGAGATCACTTTACAATAAAAAAAAAGAAAAGAAACACTAAATTAGTTACAGAAGATTGTATACATACTCTTCTCTCCGCCATCTTCATTCCGGGGGATGTCACGTGACCATTTTGGCGGGAATTTAAGGCGAATTGTCAGTCCGATCCGATCCGATCCGATCCGGAGTCCGATCCGATCCACAATCCGATCCGATCCGAGCAATCCGATCCGGGTTTTGTTAACGGCCTAAAGTAAACAGTACTATGTGAAAGTTCTGCCCAATAAGTTTTATTTGAATGGTAACACCATAAGATTTCATCTACAGATTTATTGGTTAGAATAATAAAATAAATAATCTTGGCATGATGTGGTCCAGGTGTAAAAGGTTTGAGAAAGGATTCATTTAAAAAGCCAAAGGATAGGGGAAGATAGAAAGCAAAGAAATTATGCCAAGTACTCCTTGCCTCTTCCTGTCCTTTGCCGCACCATTTTTCCCTTAAAGTTTTTACAGCCTCGCTATGTGGATATACTGTAAAGGCTGATTTTGACTAGCGACAGAGTCAGATTCAGAGTTGTAAGCAGAGTTGTAAGACCGCTTATCCCCTAGTGAAAATAAAAAATCGGAATCGTAGGTGGAGTCGTAAGCATGGCGGGATCAGAGTTAGAATAACGGCAGGATAAACCAATAACAATGCACATTCCCACGCTTTGTGATTGGTTTAGTTCTTCCGCTTCTGCTTCTGACTCTGACAATCTGGTTTTCACTAGATCATAAGCTGAATGTAAGCGACGGAGTCATAAGCAAAATCAGAACACTGTTTTCACTAGATGATAAGCACTAGCCACACTTCTGATTATGACTCCGACCCTGATTCTGACTTCGTCACTAGTGAAAACCAGCCTGAAGAGTGGCACACAGAAGCTGCCTCTGTCAAGGGAAGATGTAACCGGCATTTTAAGGCTCCAGTTTTAACATCCCTTGATTCAGAACTGTTCAAGTGTTTCACTTTGTTTATCTTCTGTTAAAGGTATTCCTTCATGTCCCTATGGCAGATCAAGTCTCTACCAGTCCCCCAGCTTCTTGCTCCTGGAGCACTGGTGGGGATCTGGGTAACAAACAAACAAAAGTATCTCAGGTTCACCAAGTCAGAGCTTTTTCCTCATTGGTCAGTTGAGTTAGTGGCAGAGTGGTACTGGGTTAAGGTCACAAGAAGAGGAGAACTGGTAACTGATTTGGATTCACCACATAAGAAACCTTATGAGCCTTTATTGATTGGCAGATTTAAACCAGAAGGGGATAATGGTTTGAGGGAATATTGTTCGAATTTGATTATGGATGACAAGTTTGATGAAGACAAGAAGAGGTGTAGCTTAGAACAAAGGGAATTCTGGAATACTTCATCACCAGAAATGAAAAGGAAAAGACTTGCAAGCAATGAAAGTGACACTAATTTTTGCATCCAAGATTTCAACAAAATTACTACAGCAGCTGATGGTACTGAAAGTAAAAATGTGCATGACATGTTGCAAACTGTGACTTGGCAAAAATCACATGAACACAGACCAATGCTTTGTGGATTAAAACACCTGTCGTATAAATTAGAAAGGTCAAGTGATGATGATGAATTTTTAGACTTACAAGTAAATGAAGCAGTTTGTAATACTGGTACAGATATCAACCTAAAAAGAAATGTAAAAGATACTGGCCACTCCTTAGATTCAGTAGAGTCATCAAAGAGAGGATGGGAAAGATTATTACCATATGAACAAGTGATCTGTAGTGTGCCCTGCAGGATCCACTCCAGGAAACCACCTCTGAATGGTAAGTCTAGATGACAGATCTTCAGAAAGGTTCATTTAATAAATGAATGAATGAGTACAATTTGTCCTGCAAAATTGTGAAAAACCACATTCTGCCCGAGGTATGTAAGGTTACTAAAAAAACACTGCCGGATAGTACTGTTTACCTCAGATGTGATGTATAAAAAGTATAATCTGGTCACCAGATTAATTTTGTGTCGGACAGTTGTCGGACAGTTGTCGGACAAAAAATTTGGCTTAATTTTTAATTTTGGCCCCCCTTTTAGAGAAAGGAATGCAACCTTTTAATTTACAATGTGTAAATTGGCTAGTCTACTGTGATCAAGAGCCACTGTGGCTCGAGTGACTCATCAAGATGATTGCTATCGTTTGGGTGTACATATAAGGCTATTAACTCGATGTCAGATTTGTTTCACTCTTGGACTGTTTGTAAAGTATTTTTCTTTAAAATCATTTAGCCTTTCCCTCAAAAGACACATGAATGTGTTTGATTTAAATTATAAATTTATTAATGGGAGCTTCGCTTTTAGCCCTGGCTAAATCTATATATTAGTACAGTTTCGGTGTCAGTTTTGCATGTATTTCATTTGACTATACTAACACTGATACCCCTTCTGCAGAAATTCTCTCCTGTTATATACCACCCTCTTCTCGATGCCTTGAGATGTTTGCACGAAACTTAACACCACACTGGACAAGCTGGGGAAATGAGGTAANTTCAGTGGAGTCATCAAAGAGAGGATGGGAAAGATTATTACCATATGAACAAGTGATCTGTAGTGTGCCCTGCAGGATCCACTCCAGGAAACCACCTCTGAATGGTAAGTCTAGATGACAGATCTTCAGAAAGGTTCATTTAATAAATGAATGAATGAGTACAATTTGTCCTGCAAAATTGTGAAAAACCACATTCTGCCCGAGGTATGTAAGGTTACTAAAAAAACACTGCCGGATAGTACTGTTTACCTCAGATGTGATGTATAAAAAGTATAATCTGGTCACCAGATTAATTTTGTGTCGGACAGTTGTCGGACAGTTGTCGGACAAAAAATTTGGCTTAATTTTTAATTTTGGCCCCCCTTTTAGAGAAAGGAATGCAACCTTTTAATTTACAATGTGTAAATTGGCTAGTCTACTGTGATCAAGAGCCACTGTGGCTCGAGTGACTCATCAAGATGATTGCTATCGTTTGGGTGTACATATAAGGCTATTAACTCGATGTCAGATTTGTTTCACTCTTGGACTGTTTGTAAAGTATTTTTCTTTAAAATCATTTAGCCTTTCCCTCAAAAGACACATGAATGTGTTTGATTTAAATTATAAATTTATTAATGGGAGCTTCGCTTTTAGCCCTGGCTAAATCTATATATTAGTACAGTTTCGGTGTCAGTTTTGCATGTATTTCATTTGACTATACTAACACTGATACCCCTTCTGCAGAAATTCTCTCCTGTTATATACCACCCTCTTCTCGATGCCTTGAGATGTTTGCACGAAACTTAACACCACACTGGACAAGCTGGGGAAATGAGGTAAGAAGTTATTAGATTGTTATTGGAGGTCAATTCAAGATTGTACAGAGGTAGCGTTGCCGAGCGGTTAGAGCAATGGACTTGACTTGTATTTCCAAGGCTAGAGTTTGAGTCCCACTCTGACCACCAACTGGATTTGTTCTCAGTAGTCCCATGTTCAAAACCTCGGCCACATCTGTAAATTAGCTAACTGGTTTACCTCCTACCAGTTGCGATTTTAAGAGGAAATTATTATTATCAAAACAAGAATGAATGCTCTGTTTTTTGTTTACAGAAAGACATAATTTTTAATGTGGTTGTATTACAAGTAAGAATAGGGCCATTTATACGAGGGAAATAAGATGCGTCTTACATAGGATGCGTCCTAAATAAGACACAAACTATCCCGTATAAACAGCACATTTCTTTGGAAATTTAGCTAAGACGCGTCTTATTTAAGAACAGCCCTTAACACCTGCTCTTCGATAAGAGGCGTCTTAGCTAAGGTGCGTCTTAATGTGCTGTTTATACGGGACAGTTTGTGTCTTATTTTCCCTCGTATAAATGGCCCTAATGTCTCCAAAGAAAGGAAAGCGCTTCAGTTTGTAAAAAAATGCAAATAATGTTCCAAAACAAGTTGCACATTACTAATTGTTGCCTTTTTTACAACTTTTACCACAATGCACACCCACAGCGTCCTGCAAATGCTTTTACTCTCTAAGTCTAAGTAAGTATTGTGTAAGGAAACAACACAACAGTCATGCTTCAACCCGGACATACAGATATGAAGTTTGACTTGCTATCCATTACTAGTAGACACAACAACAGGCTGCGTAGCTTCACATTTGTGTTGGAGACTGAGGTAACTTTATTTTCTGTTTACTAGGTGTTGAAGTTTCAGAGTATGGAGTATTTTACACAGCTGTCAGCAAAAGAAACAGATCCAAACCTAAGACCGAGCAACCTATCTTAAGTCACCTCTATTAACAATTTTTTGTGTTCGTGATCACATAGCCTGCACATGAGTTCATCAACAAAGTTGGGGTGAGAGCAAAAAAGAGGCAAGAAGGGAGAGGGGGAGGGGAGAAAAGGAAGTTTTTCCTCATTTTCCCCTCCATCCTGTCCCTGAAACACTTGCTAGGACGGCTAATGATCACATCACTTGTGATAAGTACATGATAACTGTCAAAATATAAAATAAACGACTTAGTGTGGTGTAGTTTGTGTAGAGTGGTGTTGTTTGGTTTAATTTGGTGTAGTTTGTGTACTGTGCAGGTGAAGCTTAATGTGCTGGTATTTTTCACTAAACGACGATACAAAAGATTGGAAACGGTCGGTATTGGTAGCCTGCATCTAGGATTTTTTTAAGTCATTAGCCCATGATTATGGGTGAGGATTTTTTCTTCTATTTCTTCTTTTTTTCTTTCTGTTTTTGTTACACGCTTATTCTTGGTCCAGTATTTAACCATACCAGTTTAATTTTGATCGTGGTCATTTTTTATTTCTGCAAAGAGGTTAACCAATGATAAACCCATTGTTAAGAATAAAAGAGGAAACAACAAGGGAAAAATAAATAAATAAATTTCAAATAAAAGGACATATTATTGATTGATGTACCATTGGGGAGGTTTAACACAAAACTTAGTGACAATCTCAAAAATGCATTTTATTATCTTTAGAGGCTCCTTTTCTATCTACAATGAAAACAAACAATAATTCTAGCAAACAATATTTCTCAGCCTATTTTGGCCAAAAACAAAGTATGGAAAAAATTCCAATTTTTAAAAACCATGGACTAACCCCTTTGCAAAAATCCGAATTTTTTCCACTTTTTTGAAAAGACATTTTTGTGTTCAAGAAAGCCTTCTTTTCTATTTAGAGTATCAGCAAACAATATTTGTAGGCTTATTTTGCCCAAAAACCAAACATGGAAAAAATTCCAATTTTTCACCAAAACCATGGACTATTAAACCCCTTTGCAAACGTTCAAATCTTTTACACTTTTTTGAAAAGAAATTTTCCTTTTAAAGAAAGCCTTCTTTTCTATCTAGAATATCAGCAAACAATATTTCTCGGCCTATTTTGCCCAAAAACAAACTATTGAAAAAATTCCAATTTTTGACCAAAACCATTGGAAAAATGTCAATTTTTCGACTTTTTCAACTTCCTATTTTTATAGCCTAGAAAGGCGGGTTTTTTGTTCTAGAATATCGTAAAAGACATTTTCCTGGCCTATATTGCCTTAAAAATAAAAGTTGGAAAAATGGCCATTTCCGGTCCAAAACCATGGGTTAACCCCTTTGGAAAAATGTTAATTTCTCGACATTTTAACCTCTTGTTTTTATAGCCTCGAAAGGCGTTTTTTCGTTCTAGAATATCGTAAAAGACATTTTCCTCGCCTATATTGCCTAAAAAAAAATTTACAAAAAAGGCCATTTTTGGACCAAAACCATGGGTTAACCCCTTTGGAAAAATGTCAATTTTTCGACTTTTCAACTTCGTGTTTTTATAGCCTAGAAAGGAGTTTTGTCGTTCTAGAATATCGTAAAAGACATTTTCCTGGCCTGTATTCCTTAAAAAAAAAAAAGTTGGAAAAATCGCTATTTTTGGTCCAAAACCATGGGTTAACCCCTTTAAAAAAATGTCAATTTTTCGTCTTTTTCAACTTCTTGTTTTTATAGGCTACAAAAGCGTTGTTTCGTTCTAGAATATCGTAAAAGACATTTTCCTGGCCTATATTGCCTTAAAAAAAAAGGTGAAAAAATCGCCATTTTTAGTCCAAAACCATGGGTTAACCCCTTTGGAAAAATGTCAATTTTTCGTCTTTTTCAACTTCTTGTTTTTATAGCCTAGAAAAGCGCGTTTTCATTCTAGAATATCGTAAAAGAAATTTTCCTGGCCTATATTGCCTAAAAAAAAAAAGTTGGAAAAAACGCCATTTATGGTCGAAAACCATGGGTTAACCCTTTTGGAAAAATGTCAATTTTTCCTCTTTTTCAACTTCTGGTTTTTATAGGTTAGAAAAACGTGTTTTCGTTCGAGAATGTCGTAAAAGACATTTTCCTGGCCTATATTCCGTAAAAAAAAAAGTTGGAAAAATGGCCATTTTTGGTCCAAAACCATGTGTTAACCCCTTTGGAAAAATGTCAATTTTTCGACTGTTTGAACTTCTTGTTTTAATAGCCTTGAAAGGCCTTTTTTCGTTCTAGAATATCGTAAAAAACATTTTTCTGCCCTATATTGCCTAAAAAAAAAAGTTGGAAAAATCGCCATTTTTGGGTTAAAACCATGGGTTAACCTCTTTGGAAAAATGTCAATTTTTCGACTTTTCAACTTCTTGTTTTTATAGCCTAGAAAGGCGTTTTTTCGTTCTAAAATATTGTAAAAGACATTTTCCTGGCCTATATTGCCTTAAAAAAAAAGCTGCAAAAAAGGCTATTTTTGGACCAAAACCATGGGTTAACCCCTTTGGAAAAATGTCAATTTTTCGTCTTTTTAACTTCTTGTTTTTATAGGCTAGAAAAGCGTTTTTTCGTTCTAGAATAGCGAAAAAGACAGTTTCCTGGCCTATATTGCCTTAAAAAGAAATTTGGAAAAATGGCCATTTTTGGTCCAAAACCATGGGTTAACCCCTTTGGAAAAATGTCAATTTTTCGTCTTTTTCAACTTCTTGTTTTTATAGGCTACAAAAGCGTTTTTTCGTTCTAGAATATCGTAAAAGACATTTTCCTGGCCTATATTGCCTTTAAAAAAAAGTTGGAAAAATCGCCATTTTTGGTCGAAAACCATGGGTTAACCCCTTTGGAAAAATGTCAATTTTTCGTCTTTTTCAACTTCTTGTTTTTATAGGGTAGAAAAACGTGTTTTCGTTCTAGAATATCGTAAAAGACATTTTCCTGGCCTATATTCCGTAAAAAAAAAAGTTGGAAAAGTGGCCATTTTTGGTCCAAAACCTTGGTTTAACCCCTTTGGAAAAATGTCAATTTTTCGACTTTTTGAACTTCTTGTTTTTATAGCCTAGAAAGGCTTTTTTTCGTTCTAGAATATTGTAAAAGACATTTTCCTGGCGTATATTCCCTAAAAAAAATAAGTTGCAAAAATGGCCATTTTTGGACCAAAACCATGGGTTAACCCCTTTGGAAAAACGTCAATTTTTCGACTTTTTTTAACTTCTTGTTTTAATAGCCTTGAAAGGCGTTTTTTCGTCCTAAAATATCGTCAAAACATTTTTCTGCCCTATATTGCCTAAAAAAAAAAAGTTGGAAAAATGGCCAGTTTAGGAACAAAACCATGGGTTAACCCCTTTGGAAAAATGTCAATTTTTCGTCTTTTTCAACTTCTTGTTTTTATAGGCTACAAAAGCGTTTTTTCGTTCTAGAATATCGTAAAAGACATTTTCCTAGCCTATATTGCCTTAAAAAAAAATTTGCAAATATCGCCATTTTTGGACCAAAACCATGGGTTAACCCCTTTGGAAAAATGTCAATTTTTCGTCTTTTTCAACTTCTTGTTTTTATAGCCTAGAAAAGCGTGTTTTCGTTCGAGAATATCGTAAAAGACATTTTCCTCGCCTATATTCCGTAAAAATAAAAAGTTGGAAAAATGGCCATTTTTGGACCAAAACCATGGGTTAACCCCTTTGGAAAAATGTCAATTTTTCGTCTTTTTCAACTTCTTGTTTTTATAGGTTAGAAAAACGTGTTTTCGTTCTAGAATATCGTAAAAGACATTTTCCTGCCCTATATTGCCTTAAAAAAAAAAGTTGGGAAAAATAGCCATTTTTGGTCCAAAACCATGGGTTAACGCCTTTGGAAAAATGTCAATTTTTCGTCATTTTCAACTTCTTGTTTTTATAGCCTAGAAAAGCTTGTTTTCGTTCTAGAGTATCGTAAAATAAATTTTCCTGGCCTATATTCCGTAAAAAAAAAAGTTGGAAAAATGGCCATTTTTGGACCAAAACCATGGGTTAACCCCTTTGGAAAAATGTCAATTTTTCGTCTTTTTCACCTTCTTGTTTTTATAGGTTAGAAAAACGTGTTTTCGTTCTAGAATATCGTAAAAGACATTTTCCTGCCCTATATTGCCTTACAAAAAAAAGTTGGGAAAAATAGCCATTTTTGGTCCAAAACCATGTGTTAACCCCTTTGGAAAAATGTCAATTTTTCGACTTTTTGAACTTCTTGTTTTTATAGCCTAGAAAAGCGTTTTTTCGTTCTAGAATATCGTAAAAGACATTTTCCTGGCCTATATTGCCTTTAAAAAAAATTTGGAAAAATGGCCATTTTTGGGTTAAAACCATGGGTTAACCCCTTTGGAAAAATGTCAATTTTCGACTTTTTTAACTTCTGGTTTTTATAGGTTAGAAAAACGTTTTTTCGTTCTAGAATATCGTAAAAGACATTTTCCTGGCCTATATTCCCTATAAAAAAGCGTTTTTTCGTTCTAGAATATCGCAAAAGACATTTTCGTGGCCTATATTGCCTAAAAAAAAAAGTTGGACAAATGGCCATTTTTGGGTTAAAACCATGGGTTAACCCCTTTGGAAAAATGTCAATTTTCGACTTTTTTAACTTCTGGTTTTTATAGGTTAGAAAAACGTTTTTTCGTTCTAGAATATCGTAAAAGACATTTTCCTGGCCTATATTCCCTATAAAAAAAAGTTGCAAAAATGGCCATTTTTGGACCAAAACCATGGGTTAACCCCTTTGGAAAAATGTCAATTTTTCGTCTTTTTCAACTTCTTGTTTTTATAGGCTAGAAAGGCGTTTTTTCATTGTAGAATATCGTAAAAGATATTTTCCTGGCCTATATTGCCTTTAAAAAAAAGTTGGAAAAATGGCCATTTTTGGTCCAAAACCATGTGTTAACCCCTTTGGAAAAATGTCAATTTTTCGACTTTTTGAACTTCTTGTTTTATAACCTAGAAAGGCGTTTTTTCGCTGTAGAATATCGTAAATACATCTTCCTGGCCATATTGGCTAAAAAACTTGCAAAAATTCGAATTTTGCCATTTTTTTTAAAAGAAATTTTTATGTTAAAGAAAGCCTTCTTTTCTATCTAGAGTATTAGGAAACAATATTTCTCGGCCTATTTTGCCCAAAAACAAACTATGGAAAAAAATCGAATTTTTGATCAAAACCATGGACTAACCCCTTTGCAAAAATTCGAATTTTTTCCACTTTTTTGAAAAGACATTTTTACGTTAAAGGAACCCTTCTTTTCTATCTAGAGTATTAGCAAACAACTTTTTTTAACTTTTTTTTCCAAAAAAACAAAGTATGGAAAAAATTCCAATTTTTAAAAATACCATGGACTAACCCCTTTGCAAAAATTCGAATTTTGCCCCTTTTTTCAAAAAGAATTTTCATGTTAAACAAAGCCTTCTCTTCCATTTAGAGTATCAGTAAACAATATTTCTTGGCCTATTCTTCCCAAAAACCAAGTATGGAAAAAATACTAATTTTTGACCAAAACCCTTTGCAATAATTCGAATAATTCGAATTTTTCCACTTTTTTGAAAAAAAATTTTTATGTTAAAGAAAGCCTTCTTTTCTATCTAGAATATCAGCAAACAATATTTCTCGGCCTATTTTTCCCAAACACAAAGTATGGAAAAAATTCCAATTTTTGACCAAAACCATGGACTAACCCCTTTGAAAAAATTGGAATTTTGCCTTTTTTTTTAAAGAAAATTTTATGTTAAAGAAAGCCTTCTTTTCTATCTAGAATATCAGCGAACACTATTTCTCGGCCTATTTTGCAAAAAAACAAACTATGGAAAAAATTCCAATTTTTAACCAAAACCATGGACTAACCCCTTTGCAAAAATTCGAATTTTGCCACTTTTTTGAAAATAAATTTTTACATTAAAGAAAGCCTTCTTTTCTATCTAAAATATCAGCAAACAATATTTCTCGGACCATTTTGCCCAAAAACAAACTATGGAAAAAATACCAATTTTTGACTAAAACCATGGACTAACCCCTTTGGAAAAATTCGAATTTTTACACTATTTTAAAAACACATTTTTATTACATGGAAAACCTTTCTTTTTCTATCTACAATATCAGCGAACAATATTTCTAGGCTTTTTTTTGCCCAAAAAGAAAGTAGGGAAAATTTTCAAATTTTTTACCAAAACCATGGCTTCTGGAAAAATTGGAATTTGTTCACTATCTAAATAATACATTTTTATAGTCTAAAAACCCTTATTTTGTATCTAAAATAACAACAACAATATTTCTGGGAGTGAATGTTGTGTAAAGTCCATGAATCTCCATACCAAGCATGTGAAACCAGACCATGCACCTTTCACACATGTTGTGTCTGCTGCAAGCATTTCCCAGGTGTCTGCTTCAACCTTGGTAAGCTCTTCATGTCTCAGGTGCTAATATCCTCAGCCAGGCGATGTCTTGCTGAGAGACTTTCAGCCCACTGCAAACGTCCGAGGAAAATCTTGTTTTATGCAGGACATCTCTACTCTGAAGGATTCTCCTGACAAAGAATGGATCCGAACAGTCGGGTATCCTAAGGAAGAAGAAAAGCAGTTGCTGTTTCAGCTTTCAAGTGAGTCAAAGAAAGAGGTGACTCCACTGAGCCAGGTCATGTTTGCTAAGTAACAACCAGGCTGCTTCTTGGTGCTCCCTTTCCAACCAGCCAAACGAAACCCAAAATGAAAATGCTAACCCCATTTGTCAGTTCTTTTCCAAGAATTAGCCCACCCATGCATCTGTGCAGGACTCTGTTTAAATTAGCTATGCTAAACCGTATGCTGCTGTATAAATAAATAAATAACACATTTTCGTTAAATTGAGGTATCTGGCTTAAATTGTTTAATAAGACAACACTCAAGGTCTGAAAATACTGCAACTAATAATATTTCACATACACACAATTATTTATTAGTGACAAAGCAAAGGATCAAAACGGCTGGATATTTGCCAAGTTTTTTTTGGCATTTTTAATGACGAAAAAAAAGTTAAGGTCAATAACACTGAAAAAAAAACATGGGCAATATCCATACTTAACGGCCAAAAAAGAGAACTAATTTTTCTCATTCTTGCGGGACTAACGGGGCAAATCCCGAACAGCAAGGTAGAACTGAAAACGGGTTGAATACCTACCAAGAGCTTTACCTGAAGGAAAATATGCATCTCATTCATGACATGTGCAGAATCCACTACCATTCTCGAACAGACGTCTTACCTGTTGTTGACGTGTGGTTTTCTGTAGGACATTCCTTTCAAAGGTCACCGAGTTGTAATGAGACAACCGTCAAATGACAAAGTTGGGGGTATAGAAGAGGTACATGAAGCTAGAGAGGATCAATGCAGCCAGCTGGGAAGCATTTGTGGGTGACAGCAACATGGTACTCCAACATGGCACCAGGCCAGTTCTTGTTATATTCAAGCTCTGTTTAGTCCATCGATCTCCATATTCAACTCAAGCATCTGAAACCAGGCCATCCAGAATCCACACATGTTGTGTAACTTGCAAGTGTTTCCCATCTGTTTGCATCAACCTTGGTAAGCTTCACATGTCTCCTGTAAATATCCTTATCCAAGAAGACTGTCTTGCTGACAGACGCTGATCCCACTGCAAACCTTCCAACAAAATGTATTTTTATGTTGGAAGTCTCTTCTCGCAAGAATTCTCCTGATGAAGAATGGATCCCAATGGTGAGGTTACCTATGAAATAGGGAAGAGAAGCAGATTTTGTTCCAGTTATTAAGACATACAAAGAGTGAGGTGGATCCACAGAGCCAGGTCATGCCCTGGGCCAAACTTTTTCACTGAATATTTGGTACGCACACACTTATCCGCCCTGCTCAAAGTCAGCAACAAGCTTTATTTCGTGTGCCTGGAGATCTTGAAAGAGAAGACGATTTGTGCAAAAAAATTGCACCTACTGAGCTTGTTTCAAAAAATTAATGCACAAAAATATACCAGGTGTTATCTCAAACACATCTTGGCTATTTGACCGATGCTCTCTCAACTGAGCTAACCAGGCTACAATGAAGTCATCGAGCAATGAGTAGCCTGTGCCACAGACGAAACTAAACCCTGTCACCAACTGGGGTTAAACTAGCTACGAGGTAAGAGTAAGACGAAAGACGAAACTAAGCCTTGTTACTAACTGGGGTTAAACTAGCTACGAGGTGAGAGTAAAAATTATTTAGGTTTTTGGATTCACTTGGGAAGTTTAAAGAGCACTCAAGAAGCTAGAGTTGCTCTTGGCTATACCTTGAGCAACTCTTACGTTTCTCTCAAGCTCTCCAAAATTTCTGCATGCATCCACAACTCGACATACACACCCCAAGCATGAACCAATTCTTCATTACATGGCTGCCTGGAGATCAAAATTTCTCTTCTTAGTGTTCAAAACCATTGTAATATCCTCTACGTTTCTCATTATGCATAATTATGCATTAGTGGCAAAGCATAAGGTCTAGATGGCTCGATAAGGGCAAAGTTCTTTTACACATTTTTTGGGACTAAAACAAGTCAAGGTCAATAACGATACAAATAAGAACAAGGTCAATATCCAGCTGTGTTAACCAAACAAGCTTTGTCAATAAAGGATTTAGCAACTGGCATCCATTCTTGCAGGACCAACACAGGAAATCCGGAGAGGGCAAGATGAACATGGAAATAGGTTGAATACTTACCAAGTGCTTTACTTGAAGGGAAATACATGCATCTCATGCTGGTGCAGACTCCACTACCATTCATCTACCACTGTGCCTAAGCTTGTCTGCAGAATGGACGACAACCCGTACCTCACACCAAAAGACATCCGTAAGGAAAGCTTCCAGTGTGCTCGACATCTGTTGGCAGTCCACTGTTTCCGAGGGTTTCTAGACGAGGTACATGAAGCTAGCCAAGGTCAAGGCAGACAGCTGGGAGGCATTTGTGGGTGACAGCAACATGGTAGCTCCAGTACAGCACCTGGCCAGTTCTTGTGGTACTCAGGCTCCATAAAGTCCATAGATCTCCATATCAAGCATCTGAAACCAGAACATCCAGATTCCACACATATTGTGTCACTTGCAAGTGTTTCCCAGCTGTTTACATCAACCGTGGTAAGCTTCACATGTCACCTGCAAATATCCTTGTCCAAGCAGTGTCTTGCTGAGAGACCCTGATCCCACTGCAAACCTTCCAACGAAATATCTTTTTATGTTGGAAGTCTCTTCTCACAAGGGTTTTTGCTGTTGAAGAATGGAACCTAATGGTGAAGTTACCTATGAAACAGGGGAGAGAAACAGTTCTTAACTCAGTTATCAAGTGATACAAAGAATGAGGTGGATCCACAGAACCAGGTCATGCTCTGGGTCAAACGTTGTTATTAAATACTTGGTATGCAACACTTCACCAAGTGACTTTCAACCAGCTGAAATAACACCCGGATTAGAAGTTACTAACCCTATTAGTCAGTACTATATAATGTAATTGAAATAGCCCGCCCAAACGTGTAAAACACATGTTGGTTGAGTATGAGGCTTCAATACTAACTGTTTCCAGGGTTACAAGGTTACTGCAAGAATTCTTACAAATATATTTAGAAACTTTACGCTGTTACAAGTTCTAAGTGAGCCTGGGAAAGGAGTTTTGAAAACCTGACTGACTTAGAAAACCTGAGACTGTTGAGCATTTGACTCCAGAAAACCACATATTTCAAATTCCACTGGTCAAGAATTTTGCACTAATCATATTGAGAAAGCTGGTCTTGCAACTTTAGGATCACTTTTCATAGTAAATTTTGGAAGGATTGAGCAGAGCTTGTAGAATGTACTCGTTTCACAGTGTTTCACAGACCAGTTAATAGAGAACAATTTTGGTGGAAATTTAATATCTTTCAGGTCCCACAAACCAGTCAGCAAGACTAGAACCCCTCAAAAAAGCATTTTTGACCTTTAAGTGATGTTTAGTTTTCCTTTGTCACGTCTTAAATTTACATTGTATAAAGAGCTCATGAGAGGAACAGAACTTCCATTTTCATGGAAAGTGCTCTACAATTTATCTGAAAATAAACTGATCCGTGAAAACGCCATGACCTAGGCCTGGTTTGAGAGTTGCTTGCTCCGGATTACGGGCTCCTGGAATCAAAAATCTGTTTGAAATGGATTTGTAAAGATCCCACTAGGCTTATTATTTATATTGGTTTAGGAATGAAGATTAATATTTTACATGGTTAGACTTAAACAAATTATCTGTAAGTTCAAGCTCAACTCTCCTGTACCCTGTGCTGAAATTCTTGTTGTGCATACATGTACACTATATACTTAGACTTTGTATATTCAGAATCTTATGTTTGTTGTAATTTTAATTTAGATTGAGGGCCAGAAGTTTACTAGTTTCTGTAACAATTCCGTGCTACCCTCATTAAATAAATAGAGGATATTACATGGCCGCGTGGAGATACGAAATTTCTCTTCAAGCGTTGAAAAATATTTCACGAGTGAGCACAGCGAATGAGTGAAATATTTTTTCAATACGAGAAGAGAAATGTTGTATCTCCAAGTCGCCATGTAATGTTCTATTTATTATATAAACACCAATGAAATACCAAACCACTTCACTTTAATAGTTTTCTGGTGTGACAGGTGTGATTTATCATGTAGCCATAGCAATGGTGATATTTTCACATGTGAAGATAACATGTTATTTTCACACGTGAAGATATCACGTTTTCACAGCTCAGCTGGTATTTCATTGGTGTTTATATAATAAAGTGTATTATTATTATTATTATTATTATTATTATTATTATTATTATTACAACTATGTACAGTGGAACTCTGCCTTATTGCCACCTCGGAAATACAGTCACCTTGTTATTATGGCCACTTTTTTTAGGCCCAGCAAAATGACCATATATTCATTTATAAACTAGCAAAAGCCAACGGTTACGCAGTGTGGGCAACAACAATCGAAGGTCAAAATGCTTTTGCTCCAGCACTGTGCTTTCACAAGTTTCATGTGACAGACGATCAAAACATACGAGATCAAGTGATAGAAGGTCTGAACACTTGTCATCGAAGTGCGTGCTGTGCATTCCATACATTCTTAGTGGAAGTCCAAACAAATGCTCGATACATACACGCGACGCATGGGTAATAACAACTTAGAGACTGCAGGTTCCTCTTGTCGCCCGCAAAAACCTCCGCTACTGTGGTCACCTGTTTATGTGGCCAACAGCCACATTCTAAAATCCCAAACAGTAGCTTGTTTTTCCAGCACTGTTGCCATTTTAGGACAAAGACAACTTAATACACCTAACAATGGTTTGCCCCAGGATGGGGGAAGGGAGGGCAACCCATGGGAATTAGGCTTAGTGAAACGCACGTGGGTAGGGAATTTGAAATCTTAGGCCCAGTTGTTCGAACACCAGTTAGCACTCACCCAGGGTTAAATAATATTTTAACGCAGGTTTGTTTGTTTTTTTTTATCAAAAGCACTCTCGTACAATTTTCCCTGTTCTTTTTAGAGTAGCTGTATATTTCTCGGGAAAAAGGCGCTCATTATTACATCCAAGCACGGCACAAGGATCTTTTTTCCCATTACAATCTTATTCTAAGAAAACTTTAAGAAAAAATGTTCCGAAAAGGGCTCGAAAATACAAACGAAATGTGCTCATGCCCCTTGGGCATCCTATAATACTCCTTAAATCGAATTAATTCAATATGGCCGC